TTCACTTTGTCCGACAAAGGGGTTGATTCTGTCACTATGATCACCCACTCAAGTGAATTCTCAGACTGCCCCAACATACCCAGGTTTTGACCCCTYTAAGGATCTCACTAATTGGCATATAAAAGACAGCCTAATCTTACACCAAGTGCTATACCATAATCGAGTCTAGGGGTTAGGTGTAATTTTCCAGTTTTGCCCATCTATCTCCAAGGTCTAGGGCATAATTAGAAAATAGTCCAGTTCGGAGTTTCAATCAAACCCACACTACATGTGCTTCAGGTCTTATCTTGGCAGTTGAGACAAACCACTCCAACTTTCTTGACAGCACATTAGTGTCAGCCTTGGCAGAAACAAAACATAATAACACGAACCACTTATGTATTTCATTCATTTACAATAAATGTGAATAAGTACATCAATCTGATTGGAGCTAAGGGCATAACTATCTAACAGATTCATAATCATAAGCCTAACAAATTTATAATAGATTTTCATAATACAAGAAAGTGCAAAGTAATGGTAAACTTGCCTATTGCCTACTAGACCATGTCATAAAAAATGGTTTAGTAGCTTTCAAGCTTAATTTCAACCTTTTCATTTAAATTGTTTTTTATTTTCCTATGTATTTTTCATATAGGTTTTGTATTAGAGATTCTTTAAACTCATTTTGATTCATTACCAATTACCATCTTAAAGAGTTGTCAATGGATGGGATTTTGATCTACTCCAATTCAATCCAATATAGTAGGATATTTTTTTGAATCTTAAAAGAATATTCGTTCAATCTCGATGAAGATCAGAATGTACATGTCTTCTAAAAATCAGGATGCATAAGCCATGTGGATACATGTAGACAAGATAAAGCATGAAACACAGACTATTATGAGGTCAGAAAGCAAGCTTCTGCAATCAGCAATAATCATGTTAATGCACCACAGAAGACTAGATGACTCCAACAGGAGCATAGTGTTAATGCTAGGTAGTTCTTTAAACCCACCTAACTCAAGTATTGCTTGTACTAGTGACCTTGAAAATCAATACACATTGTGTAATACGCACCTGATACATTGCAATATTTTGAATCCTGATACATTGCAATTGAGGCAAGGCAATTTGGGCTATCTCCCCTTCATTTGTATGCCTTACCAGCTATCACCAAGTCTCACCTTCTATAACCATGTTAAAAGATTGTAACTAGTAGAAACTTCAGACATGGTTGCAAAATATTGTATCAAACCAGTTGGCGAGAATTATTTGTACCACAATAATAAATTATAGAAGACAAACTCTATTACTGGGCAATAGAATTGCAATTACTCATTTATAAAGTTATTTGTATCTTGCATGACGTTTTTGTCCCTGTCCAAAAGATGGCAAGAATCATATTACAGGTTTACAACTCACTTGACCTTTGATCAGATAACAGCAATTGGTTCCACTACTGCAGTTATTGTAAATACATGATTCCTAAGAGTGTGGGGCGAGCTGGATTTTTAGTGCCTGTTTAACCACATGCCAGAGGGTGAATCAAGTGTCTGGCAGATGCTACAGGTTCTCCCTCCATGTACTCTTCAACCAAACTTGGACTATGTTGTTGCAGATAAGACACTATTCCTCTTCAAAGTTCATGGGCGAAGGTCATTACAATTGTAAGATATTTCATGCACCTCTACCCCCAACATAGGTGCTCAGGTGTTCCTCATAACTGAAAGGAACCGGGAGGAAGTCCATAATTCCCATCTGTGGGACTCTTACTCTTAAAAATACAATGAAGATGACTGAATTGGTTCTAGTAGGGTCTATATCGCAGTGATGTTCTAATTAGCCGACTTACAGAGGCATCATGAGAATTTATCAACTGCCAAAAGAATAAACATAAACCAGTGTGAAACACAACTAAGAAGACATTAAGAAATGTAATGTCAAGTCATTCATTTTTGATGAGGGAATGAAGGAACTCCCCCACCCACCACCACCACAAACCCACAATGTAAATGGTTTTAGAAAAAAAATATAGATGCCATATGTAGTTTTAGAGCATGTGTTGGAGAATCATAAGAAATCTTAGAATCATAATCTATAATTGATGTGTAAAAAAGTTGAACTAATATTTACACCAGGTGAAATGTTTTACAATTTCCTTTGAAACAAATAACTCTAGAAACAACATAAAACATGAAAGCTAAAATGCTTTTCTCTTAGATAAGAAATTAATCAAGTAATAGCTATAATTCCTCTTGCCCAAGTAAAAATCCGAAAGCAATCTTCACTTTACTAGGAAAGAGGTTACATTTGAGATGTATAAATCTGGAAACAATACTCACCTTGGTGTCCTGAGTTTGTTGATTGGCTATATTTTGTTGTGTTGAAACAGACATCTCTAATGTTCTGGCTATGGAAGTGGAAGTGGGATCTGTACTCAGTTCGCTTTCTAGGGGAGCTGCGCGATCCAACACAATCTGCAGGCAGTTAAATATTTTTAATTTTAGAGCATAACAGCAAAGGAACAAAACCCTGAAGAGGGACAGAAATGACAAAACAATAATAGCCAAACATTTATCTTCAATGTGGATATCTGTCATATCTGTTGCTGAAAATCTAGATATCATAATCATTGGAATTGCAGGACACTATTGCATCTTTTTCTTTTATCATGATGATGAGAATAAAGTACTTTCTTCTATAGTTAGGTGAGGGAAACACCTCATTTATCTGTACGTGGATATGCTGGTATGCTATTCCATGCATCCCTCCAAAAGTATATTTCATGCAGATGACATACCAGAACAAAATTTTGACAATTGATCATCTTATCTCTAGATGTAGATTTGAGATATGTCCTTGTACTTCATCAATATCTTTGGGATCTTTCTGTGGTTGATAAGAGTTTTGGCTCATGAAAGGAAGCAAGGCCAAATTTTTTAGGAAAGAGTTGTGAGGAGAACCAGTTTATGGGGAGCCCAGACCAACTTATCATCTGATAGTATTCCATTTTATCTGATTTTGAGAGGCAGAATTTCTCAAAATTTTGTATTGGGAGAAAATTATTTTTTGAAAACCTTGGGAGGACTACTCCAAGAAATTCCAAATAAAGAGATTTTTATAGAATGGGACATGAATGGACAATGTAGGGAAAAGGAGTGCAGGATATGATATGGTACTAGAATATCTGGGTTTGGGGAGATGAATAAAAAAGGAAATACAATTTTAGAATTTGTAATAGATTACACAAAGGTAAATAGATATCAAAAAAAGGATGAACATATAATAACATTTGAAAGGGGAACAAACATATAGATTTTTACCTTACTAGGAGAACAGAAAGAATGATGTAAGGACTGCAATGTTATCCCAAGGGATAGCTTAACCACACAATATGACTTAACACTGGTAGATGTGCACATTAAGAAATGGAAGAAAAACATAGAAGAAAATAGGTGCCCTAGAGATCATGATATATCAATAGAAATGGTTAATTTTATAAGGAATAGTAAAGGATCTTTTAGGAGAATTAAAGGAAAATGGCAAAATGCTAAAGAAACTTGATAGTGGAATGAAGATTCCATGAGAAAATCCCAAAAAAAAATCTTCGTTATATGAAAATGAAACATAAATGAAAATTCTCTAGAGATCATGTACAATCTAAAATTTGTATACTCTTATAAATCCTAAAAGAGTAATTAGGATTTTTCATGAGAAAATCCAAAAAAAAAGTCTTCATTATATGAGGCTGAAACTTAAATGAAAACTCTCTATAAATCATGTACAATCTCTAGGTCTATACCACCCAAACTTAAAGCACTATGTTGGGAGGTTTTTCTTGGGAAGGTGAACACCTGCGATATGCTTCAAAAAAGAAGGCCAAATAAATGCCTCTCCCCTCGTGTGTGTGTTTCCTTTGTTTTGCAAATGGAGAATCCTTACCCCATTTACTAATCTTTTGTCCTGTTGTGCTTTATGTTTGGGAGTTATTTTGCTCTCTTTGGGTGCAGGTGGATAACTCCACAGGATGTGGTTAGTCTCTTCAGCCCAAATTTCCTAAGGCAAACAACAAAGAGATGAAGAGTTATATGGAAAACAGTAAGGGCAGCTGTAGTGTGGACTATCTAGGAGGATAGGAATGCAAGGATCTTCAATGAAAAGCATAGGTCAAAGGAAGAAATTGTGGAAATTATAAAAGTAAGTGGCACATTGGGTAAAAACACTTGATCTATTTCACAACTTGAAAATAAATTTCGAGAAAAGTTGTGTGGTGGGGCTAAATGTGGAGGGAAGGAGTTAGAGTCTATTGTTGCATGCTTAGAGTGTCCTATTTCTGCTTGGCCCTTTACCTATTTAAGACTCCCCCTAGGTGTAAATCCAAAGGAAATAGATCAACCACCCTCAGATCCACCACTAGAGTCTGCCATTGACAGATCCACCACCCTCAGATCTTGATCTTCTTGCTGCTTTTCATAAGGATAAGCATGTTTGCATAGATTACCCCCTTTCTTGGTATGTTTCCTTTGCTCACTTATCTCCTTCACATCAATGGTTTATTTTCCTTTTATCCTCTGTTTCCCTACCATTTACTATATAGGAAGTCTTCTCATCTCATGACTAGAAGAAAATGATGGATGAAAAATTTCATGCTCTCCAAGCCAAATAATACTTGGCATCTCACTTCCTTACCACCTAGGAAGCAGGCCGTTGGTTGTCGATGGGTCTATATAGTTAAACATCGTCAAGATGAGAGCATTGAGTGGTTCAAAGCTCGATTTGTTGATCATCTCTTTAGTTGCCCACTTTGATTGGCCCTTGTTTCAACTTGATGTCAAAAATGCTTTCCTCCAAGGTTATTTTCAAGTAGAGGTGTATATGAAGCAACCTTTGGGTATATTGCTTAGGGGAGTCGGGGAATGTGTTTCAATTGAGGAAGGCTATCAATGGGCTGAAGTAGTCAAAGTAGAAATCTGTTGAATTAAAAAATATGAAAGAGAGTAGTTTCTCGATGAGAGAAGGAAGAGAGAAGGAGAAGAGAAGAAGAGAAGTAGAAAGAAAAGAGAGAAATAATTTGGCCGCCCCCTTCACTTATTATTTATACTAAAATAATAGAATAGTACAAAGACAACTATGCCCTTATAGGGCGGCAAAACATAAAACAACATATATAACACTCAAAAAACATAATAAAATTTGGACTCACATAACTACTGTGATCCCCACCTCCTATCTAACAACTAACATAAAACATCTACTCA